TTTATATAAAAATTATTATTGCTTATAGATTTAAAAACATGATGTTTTATCAAGAACTTCATATTTCAGCTGTTCTATGAGTTTGAATTCTCCCAAATGATACGCGAACCATTGCTTGCCACAGCGTTCTTCTTTGCTTTGTTCACTGTTGTTATCATCTACGTGCGGTTTGACTTCACTATCGTAGCGGTGAGTTCTTTTCTCTTATGCTAATTTTTAACTCCTCTCTCCCAAATTATTTTTACGTTACTCTAGGATCCTGCACGTGAAGCACGCGAACGCATTTTGGGTAAGGTATCGATGCTTTCCCAGTTGGTAGATAAGAAGAACCGTGTTTTCACGCAGTTCCTCAATGCTGTGAATCAGTACAAAACATCACGTGATGTAACGGCTTTGCAGGTTTGTGAAATAAATGTTTTTGGAGTCAAGTCAGAATGCTTTATGGATTACTTTAGGACGGTAAGAAAAAACTGGAAACCGATCGTGCGGACATCAACGGGAAGCTATCAGCGGCACTTGCTACTTTGAAGGAGGACAGTCAAGAGTCGTATGATAAGGTGTGCAGATTATTATATAGCTTGTAACCAAAGGCCAGCAACGATTTTGTGATATCTCGCATATTTACTCACCTATTTCAACTTTGTACTTCTACTCGCATTTTGTTTCTTCTCGCTCAATTTTGCGAGTTACACCTTTTATATAAGGTATATCTACTGATATTCTCTCATTTAAGGCTCAGGAATTGCTAAGATACGAGAAATCGATAATGGATTCGCTGGACGGGTATATTACCATCGTTCAGAAGAGTCAGCAGAAGTCCGCAAGCACAGAAGACACGCAGTTCACACAGAAGGTCACGGACGCGCGCACACGCTCGGAGTCACTGCTTGCCTCGCTTTAGTTCCATATAGGATTGTTGTGTACTTCAGGTCACATTGTCCGGCGGAAAGTGGTTGTTGATTTAAATGACCACTGTTATCACATTGTTGCTCTTTTTGTTCGAAGTAATTTATTTCCAGTCAACTTCCAACCATAGGCGCACTGGGTTGTTATTACCGTTAAATTGCTCGCTTTGTCTAAGTCGTCAAAATATTTAAGATATTTATTTTTATGGGTATTCAAGTTTTACTTCCTCGTTATAAAGTTCTGGATGCTCTCTGTTCAGTTTCGTAATAAATGTTTTGGCACGATTGAAG